ACTTTAAGCTGGCGGTGGTGCATAGGTGACTACTCCGGCTAATGGTTATACTACCTGCAGTGTGTGATAAGTAGCGTGCAAGAACCCTGTCGGCTGAGAACTAGACATGCCTCGTAGGACCACCTATCGTTTGCGATGATAGGAGAGATACTGATCATGTCTTTGTCAGCGCGAGTCGCTTATGTCGAACAATGGCCGTTTATACGCACCATAATGGGAATTCCGCTTCGCGCACATGTGACATATGCGCCCCACTGCACGGCATGAAACCGCGGGACGCATCCCTGCAGGCGCTTCAGTTTCAACTTGCTCTTGACCGCCTACTACCACCTACGCAGTGCCCTCTCCACGCAAGTCGCCGCCGCCCCGAGAACACCTGCACGCAATCTCCTGATCAGCAGAGCGACAGCATCAGTCTACGAAGACGAACATACCGATCGCGTCCCTGCTTTATTTCCAAACACGACTTTAGCCACCATGCAGACGAGCAACATTTTGCCTCCCCCCTTGGGACCCGCCTTCTACGTCTGTGCACCAAGGCCGACGAGGTTCCCCCGCTTCGATTCGACGATGGACGCAGCAGACGAAGCTGAGGTTCGCAATGGACACTACGTCAAACCTTCGGTGAGTCATTACTAGCGGTGGATCAACCGCGAGAGGTTGCTTACGGGGGTTATGGCGACGCAGTACTGGCGCGTAAGCGGCGCAAAGGTGCGACATCTGGAAGACCGCTTCCGCAGGGCACAGTGGGACCTCGACTGGAGGCGATATGAGGAGCGCCTCGCGGAGGACCCGACGTGCGATATTACCCCGCCTTGGCCGCCGTTCAAGCCGCAGCAGATCGGAACTACCATGCCGCCGCCGGAGGTGGAGGTGCAACCAGATGGAGGGACAGTGGATAGCGCCCCTGTAGCGATGGAGGAGAAGGACGGGAGCGCCGGGGCAGAGGAAGTGTTCGGCCGGGTCGTAGAATGGGCGAAGAGCATCCCTACGCCTACCGCCGGGATATTTATGGACAAAAAGACATCGCGCATCCGATTGGGGAAAGCGTGGCCATCGGGGTGCACTGAACGACGGAAGCAGCCCGCTCCCAAGCTTGACGGCTTCGACGAGATGGCAGCCTCGGTGCTGCGACACTTGGGGCTCGATTGAAAGCGCAGTATGGGTCTGCAGGGGGGTCACTGGGGAGGAAGGCGGGAGGCGGGAGGTATTGATGGCAGTGAGTCTTAGCGTCCAGTGCGATGTCTGTGATGCTGAGCGTGATTTGGTGTTGCAGGGACATCTACAGTGTTTGCGCGTGACTCGTACTTGTTGACCGTGCTTGGAGCCCCTTGCGACAAGTTGTATAATGCCTTGTATCCATGATATTGTTGATCGAAGTTGTCTTCCAGATGTATCGTGGTCGCATGGCCAGCCTTTGTGCTATGATACGGGTTCGTGTTAATAGCGGATGAAACCCGACAGAACTTCACGGCTTCCTTGACAACGTACAAGACTATCGAGTCGCTGGGACGATAACTGACAACTTCTCTCAGCTATATACCGCGTTGAAAGGGGAATTCGTGTATTGACGTACCTTAGTTGATGGACACCCCGCATGCGATGCCCGTGCTCTTTGCATTCACTGAGTGGCATAATACCGAGGATGTGTCCATAAAAAAGTGCTATAAATTCAATCGCACACAGCTGCTCATCGTCCGCAAAACTGTTAGTCCTTTATACACCCCACAGAGACAGTGAAAAGCAGCTCACCTTCTGACATTCAGCACATACACCCCCGGGCACAACATGAAAACGTCCACACTGCAAGCAACGCCCGGCCCATCACTCACAATGGCAATACCCGACATCGTCATTCATTCCCCAAGTCCCCAGCGCTTGTCACGGCTTCTCCCAGATGTGCAAGTGTCGGGGGACGGGAGCGTGAGCCGCGGCTATGACGAATACGCCGTAAGTGACAGGCTCAGAGATTGAGATATATGGAAATACTCACGCGTTGAACTGTTAGTACGGGGTTGCGAGGGCTAGATTCAGCGTTCAGGACGTCCGCGCAGGCCGCCCACAACCACGGCGCCAGCCGCACGGCCAAGCGAACTTCTTGTACTGTCCGCTCGTCGCCGAAAAGCCCGGGTGGGGTGCAGCGTCTTCAAGGGCATCCTTCGAAGTACGGTAGAGTTGCGAGTCTTCGACAAGAGTGTCCACTAATACCGAAGCGATGTAGGCGAGCGTGTTCGCGCCCAGCGAATCAGACCGGCGAACGAGAACCTGCGGCAGTAGCTGGCACATCAGCACTCGAGCCGGACGGGACGGTCGCTCGGTGAAACCACCACAGCACGTCAAATATAAGCTCCCGCAGCCCGTTCTCATGGCTGTCGAGTCCGCGATGGAGGAAGAGGGACGACTTGTTCGACTCTTGGCTGTCATCCTCAAAGAGAGTTCGCTCATGTACATCATCCTGTGCGAGGAGCTCCGGAAAGCAAGAATCGAGAGGCTCAAACGAGAAGACCAAGAAGCACAGTCGCTTCTTGGAAGCCTCGTCCGAGACCTCGAGCTATGGTGACGAACATGAGCCAGTGCGGTGCTGTGAGAGGAGAGCGGAGATACCCTAGGTAAGGCTTGGTGACCGACAGGCTCTTCAGAAGCTCATTTCAGGTCTATATATAGGATGCAGAACTGGCGGCGTGGAGTCTCTGTCCAAAGCCGACTTGTTTTCTTCTTTGTTGGGTGGTCCGACATTGCCGTTGCATGAGATGTCGCCTCACGGAGAGACATAATGTATTAATGCTGTCCTTGTGCCGTTCTCGTCTATTCCTTCGACCAGACTTTGAATGCGGCTACAGTGCGCATACGCATGCGCTGACTTGAAGTCGCAGACTTGGAGAAGCTGTAATGACTGGTCACTGCGAACGCTGCAGGAGCTTCCTGCTGCCCAAGTGAGAGGGACAATCTTCTCACTGTCTTTGAGCATAGACTGATAGAGTGATTGCCGCGTTCGTTCCCGGAGAAATAGGGAGTAAGAAACAAATGTGAAAGTGCCGCCGGTGTAGTAGTAGTGCTCGAGCAGAAGGTCCGACGTTCAAGAGACAGGTTGAGACGACCGTCGCGGCATGGGTTGCAGCTGGCCATGTCTATGCATGGTATAATGTCATGCAGAAGTTTGGTTTCAACGGCCCAATGGTCTAGTAGTATGATTCGCCCTTCGGGTCGTACCCCAGTGTTACACTGAAAATGGGCGAGGTCCCGGGTTCAATTCCCGGTTGGGCCCTTTTTCACGTCTGGAGCTGGGTGGGGTGACGTCACCTGCACTGAGGGGACGATTGGCAAGCGGCCGCCAGGCTTTCTCAGTTTGCTCTTACTTACTCCCAACTGCGCTCTTCGTGCACAACCAAGTAACCGCATCGCCTCGACTGCAAGTGATGCCCGTTCCGAAGCACATACTCAGCCAGATCAAGGCCATAATTCCACCTCTCAATGGCTCCTTGCACAAGGGACAGTCAGGTCGCGTAGGCGTTTTGGGCGGCGCCCTCGAGTGAGTGTGCTAAGGTTCCTGGCCTCGAGAATGCAAACTTATGCGCATACAGCTATACAGGCGCGCCCTTTTTCGCGTCGATATCTGCCCTGCGCATAGTAAGCGCAATGTAGTACTTTGCACACGAGCCAATGCCGACCAGCACGCACACTCGTGTAGGGTGCCGACCTCTCCCACGTCATATGCTCGCCCACCGCGGCGGGAGCCATCAAGTCATACTCCCCGGACCTCATCGTGCACCCCATCCTTCGTGAAGACCAGTACGTTGTCATACAGTCTGCGCCTCCCATCAGGACCTACCGCGTTTCCCAGGTGCTGATCAATCTCCCTCAGAACTACAGAACAGCTTCGCCCGGCACTCGACTCCCTCCTATCGAGGCTCCATGTGCTCATCGTTGGACCTGGGCTCGGACGCGAGGACTACATGATCAAGTACGCGAAGCTTGCGGTGACCATCGCGAAGGAGCAGGGCATGTACGTCGTGCTCGACGCGGACGCGCTCTGGATGATTGGCCAGGACCTCGCGCTCATCCGCGGGTACCGCCGTGCGGTGCTTACCCCGAATGTGATGGAATTCAAGCGCCTCAGCGAGAACGTCGTACGTACCCGTACCCGCTTCGTACCCGCTCTTTCATAGAGAGGCAGGCGGTTTAATGGGCGTGAACAGGACATCGACCCGAAGATCCCGCCAGAGGAGCGCGCAATGCACGTCTCGCGCGCGCTAGGGGGCGTAACCGTCTTAGAAAAGGGCGCTTCCGACATCATCTGCACGAATACTGGGGAAGCCAGCAAGGAGCAAGCGGAACTCAACAAGGTGAACTCCCTGTGCCAATCTTCATTGCAAGCCGCTAAATCAATTTCCCCAGATATCTGAAGGCGAGAGCACGGAAGAACGCGTCGTCGTAGACATCCCGGGTGGTCTCAAGCGGTGCGGCGGCCAGGGCGACATCCTGAGCGGTACCGTCGGCACCGTCATGGCATGGGGCAAGTGCTTCGAGTCCGGCGCGTTCGGGTCAGTTGTCCTCCGTTTCGAGCGCTACATACACAGACCTGATCCCTGCTTCCAGCGATGGCTCTATTCCCCCATCTCGCATCCCGCTCCTTGCGGCCGTGGCCGGCTCGATGGTCACGCGGACAGCATCACGGCGCGCGTTCAGCAAGAACGGCAGAGGTGTGTTCGACGCGCTTTGTCAAGGCTTGTTTGGCTCAACTGACTATCGAGTAGGCGTTGTAACCCAAGACATGATCCCAGAGATCGGCGGCGCCTTCGCCGAGATCTTCGGCGAGGGCGAGAAGGGCTGGGGCGCCCCAACGAGCGGGGGTAAGCTTTGAAGCTTCAGTCCTCAATACGAGACCAAGTCGGAAGACTACAACATATGTATAACATGTACGACAAACCTATGTGTATGGCATACTTCCCCTCAGCCCATGCAGATACGGCGAGAAACGGGCGTGTAGGCAAAACAAACATGGCCCAATGGTCTAGTAGTATGATTCGCCCTTCGGGTTGTACCCCAGTGTTGGTTTACGCTGAAATTGGGCGAGGTCCCGGGTTCAATTCCCGGTTGGGCCCATGTTTTGCCCGGAAAGCGTATGTTTTGGCCCGCCGGAGGCACCAATGCATACCGGGAGGGAGATTGGCCGATCGGAGGCAGGTGTGGCCAGTAGCGTGAGCGGAGCAGGCGGATACTTACCGGTGGCCACCAGTCATATGGATACAATGACAGCGATAGTGTACAACCTAGCAGCATCGTCTGGAAAACGCTATAAGGATAGCCATCGTCGGTAGAGTGCCTGCGCCAGAGGTGCAGCGCCGGTGCTGACATAGATGAGAGATAAGTTATACGCTGCTTCGCGCGCAAGCCCGCAGTCCTGCGGCGGAGACGTTGAGGAAACACAGTGGTGTTAACGATTTTGAAGTGAGAACGTACCTCATCGTTGGCATTTGCTCTTGCCTCTGCAGCGCTCAGCACACGCTCGTAATGACGGACAGCGAGCGTATGCAGGCCTGATTTCGCTGTAAGAGGAAGGGTCGCAGCGCAGGCGGGGAAAGCTCACCCAGTTGGTGGAAGACCCGACCGAAGTTGTACTCAACCTCGTCTAGCCCTTCAGCTGTGTCGCCACGCAGCTCACGGTATCGCGTCAAGAACGCCATGCCCTGATGCGCACAATGAGTCAAAGGTCTCACAACGAATGCACGGAACTGACCTGAGTGATGAGATGATGTCGATTATCGGACTGCCTCTGCATCGCGCGCCCGACGGAGGCGATCGCAAGACATAAAGACACGAGCGGGTCATCCGGTGCATAATCGTACGCCTGCAGCAGATAAACTGGACCGGCGTAAGCAGGGCCGTCCGTGCCCCCACCACGACGTGGCACTCACATAACGCGCTCTGGTAGCTCTTCGCCGCTAGGAGGATTTGTCCGTACACGGCGACGTTCAGCGGGTTGGGCTCCGTAGGCAGCTTCGCGTGCTCGAACTCCGCGACGGCGGCCGGGGTTTCCACCTCGTCTTCGTCGTCGGGGACGTCGTCAGGATCAGCTTTCATCGTTGACCCGACCATGCCATATCGCCGTTGGGCGGTGTTGTAACGAAGAGCCTCCGGGTCTTTGACGGCCGCGTCGGCCAGTCGTGTCTCTCGCAACAAGTGTTTCGAGAGCGTCGAGACGAGGAACGCGTCTGTCGCTCGTAGTCCGCTTCCGAGAGACGCTACGAGGACCCGGATAGGCTCGTTGTTGAACTGGTGTCCGTTGATCAGCTTGCGGGCCTGCTCGACGACGGTCTGGAACTGGTCTGCGTGGATCGCGCAGGCTAGCACGGAGGTCAGCGACGTGTAACGTAGATGATCTCATCCACAACGTACTGATCAGAGCTAGGCGGATGGAGTCTTGCGACGAGCGCGACTGGAAAGCGTTGGAGAACAATAAATGCCGCAGGACCTCGTTGGCGGGCTCGTATTGCCCTCGCCTTGTCAAGAGGAAAGCATACTAGGTACGGTCAGACGCCACGATCTAGCAAATGAGAATGCTGTACTCAACATGCATGAACAGCCGCAACCAGTCGTCGAACGGGATGGTCCGGAAGGTGTTGACATTCTCGGCCTTGGCACCCTTCCGCGTCAGAGTGTCGCGACCTAACAGCTTATCAGAACGTACACAACCCGTATGCATACCAAGGACTCACCAAGTTCGAGCTGCAATCGCGACGCCATACTGTCCACGCTCGCCTCCGTAGTCTGCTTTCGCGTACTCCTTGGGAACATCCCACGGAATCCGCGATGCTACACACCTCGTCAACACAAACATCCCCGATATCACCATAATTGCTCCTCACCCGACTCGTCAAAAACAGCGCCCTCGTCTCTCTGAACGACTCGACCAGCTTCTCCGCCTCGACGAGCCACTCACGCGTCGCCTCCTCCTCGCCCGCCAGCATGCGCGCATACAGCTCCTGCACGCGATGCCACGACTGCACGCCCTCGCGCTCCTTCTGCGCCTCGAGCTCGCGCAGCTGCGTGACCGTGAGCTTGTTCGGGTTGCTCTTCGCAGGGGTGCCCTTGGCCTTCGCTCCGCGAACTTTGCCTTCTTCGAAGAGGGAGGCTGAGCCGGGGTCCCCGCCGCCGGAGTCGACTGTACCGTCTCGTTGCGCGGCGCGGCGTTTGCGGGAATCGATCACTATGCAGTCCGTGTGTTACTGTCTGGATTTATTTCAAGGGGAGAGTAGAGACGGACCTTGCAAGACCAGATCTAGCGCCTTCCTGGGCTCGTTGAGGATCTCGTAGATCTCTGCCAGCTTCATCTTCGCCTCGTTGTGGCCAGGGTCTGCCTGTATGACTTAAGAGGGATGAGACAGAGAGCTAGATCTAAGAAAAAGACGTGCTCACCGTGTTCGTAGACCTCTGCCGCTTCCTTCAAGTCTCCGATCATGCGACGACATGCGGCTGCTTGGAGGAGCACATACATGCTACTTGTGCCTGCGTCGCCGCCCAGCATCTCATAGATGTGACCGGCCTCCGCATACATCTCCCTCTCGAAGTACGCGTCTGCGATCTCCGAGAAAAGCGGAGAGTATTCTGCGGTATCCTGCGCGAGCACGATTTTTGCGTGCATCTGAAACCCCTGCTGTGAGAAACGCATCCGCAGCGCATACAGGGAGCCAGAGAGTAGCTGACCTTGCCCTCCTCAACATCGCCGCCCTTGATCCGCGCAATCGCCAGCCGATGCCGCGCATTGACGTCCAGCGGGTACATCCCCGGCTGCACCTCGCCCTCGCCCCCGCGCTGCACCCCACTGTCCGGCACGTCCCACTCGCGATCGTCCTCGCACGCGTCCCAGTACTTCTGCGCGGCGCGCCCCTGCAGCCAGCGGCACCCGCGCCGGATCGTGTCCACGGCCTGCGCATGCGCCCCCAGCGTGTTGTGCAGGTCCGCGAGCACGAGCAGACTCATGAGCCCGAAGCCGCCGCCGGGGACCTCCGCGCCCGTCTCCGCGTCGAGCCCGCGCCCGGCGGGGAAGGCGGCGCGGTAGTGGTCGAAGGCGCGTTGGAAGAGGTCGGCGCAGAGCGTGAGGTCGGAGAGCTCGATGAGGATCGGGCGGAGCTCTTCGAGTACGGGGAGGTGGTGCGGGAGACGCTTGAGCATCGCGAGCATAGTCGAGCGGGCCTGATTGTTTGTGTTCAGTGTGGAACCTCCGTAAAATATGGCAAATGGGCTTACCGTCTTGAGGTCACCGATCTCCTTGGCTAGCGATGCGCGATCCCATAACGCGTTCACATTCGTCGGATCCAGGTGATACATCTTCCCATAACAATATAGTGCCTGCTGGTTGTACCCCAGAGTCCTGCAAACTCGTTCGCAAGCGCGCTATCCCAGTGCGGCGTGAGGACCCACCTCGACTGCTGCGCGAGCTCACCCCATTCGTCTGGGTCGTGATTGAGGTGAGCAGCCATGATGCGCAACTGAAGGGCTTTGAGGCGTTCGCCCCAGTCATCGTAGCACTGTGCGAGCACACTCCACGGTGCGGCGGCGCGCGGCTCTATGCGGATGACCTCCTGCATGATACGCACCGTCTCATGGAGGTCGGCGTCGACAAACGCTTGATTGCCCTCGCCTATGAGGGCGCGGACTTGCTGCGAGAGCACGGGGCCGCGTCTTCGTCCGCGCTGGGTGTGTGCATTGGCCTTCGAGAGCAGAGAAGACAACGCGAACGAGGGACTGACGCACCTTTTTCTTCATCTTGCCTACCCCGGACGCCTCTCGCAGGTCGTCCTTGAACTCCGCTTCGCGCTCCTCCAGGTCCATGTCCCACATCTTGTTTAGCATCCCCGAACTCGAGCCGTCGCCCGCGTCTCGTATGTTCTGGATCAGACGGTCAAAGTCACCCTCGATGGCGGTCTCGACCTGCGTGTCTTCTGCGTCTTCCGATTCCGCGAGCAGAGCTTGGGTCCCGTCTGCGAGTGCCTGTGTGCCGCTCGGTCCAGCGACGGCATTCTCCTCTTCGGAGTACTCGTCGCCGGAGTCAGAGGTGGATTCGTAGTCAGACGAGCCTTCGGCATCCTCATCTGCAATTGTTCCAAGGTCAGACGGGATAACAGGAGAAAGAGGGAGTGCTGGACAGACCGGAAGAGGCCCACGACTGTTGTTCGTCGTCGTCCATCGGCCGTATCAGTACTGGTTCTCAAAGGTTGTTTACTTCCGGGAAGTAGCTGCCCACACTCACGCGAGCGTACGCAGGAGGCGGGATGGGCACAGGAGAGTGACTAGTGAAGGCCTGCAGATCGCGAAGCTCGACGCGACTTACATCTTGTCACGTGCGACTTGCACGCGCAGGCGCCCTATGCAGAGGGCTCAGATCTCAGATCTCAGAGTCAGACTCTCAGAGTCTTGCTCTCTCTCTCTCTGTGACTTTCTGTTGCTCTAGGTCGTTGTTTGCGATACCATATGCTACCCGGAAGTAGCGGTAAATCAAATGTGTCTCAAACGCTCGAATCCTAGCCCGCTGACCTAGGGCGCGCAAGTTGTACCGCCCTCACTGCGATTGGTTAGGTCGGTCAAATACACTTCATAATTGAACGCGGTCGGAGCTCCATGAGTATACAACAACTGATCGTGATATGTCGAGTATGTTGTAATAGACCTATAGCGCAGTAAGACGAAGCATATGCTAGCAAACACCAAGGCGTGTACCGGAATACGGCTAGGAATCGTTGAGAGAAGGGAGTGTGATATGTGGAACTGTCCGAAGAAGAGTATTGACAAGAAACAAAGGAATTTGGAGCGATATATGAGCGATATCGCGAGGCGGCCATGAGCAGCTCGCGCGCTACCAAAGAACGAAACGGCATAAGCACCCCAAGTTTGACTCAAAGTACGAGGCTTCGTACCTCAGATAGTCGGCTCTACTATAACGTCCGTAGCGGTCTCCGTGGTGGTCTCCGTAGGTGCTGCAGTGGGCTCCACGGAGGTCCCAGTCGGCGGCTCCGAACTGACAGAAGGAGCTTCAGCAGTGTCGGTAGGTTCGGAGGTCGCAGACGGGAAGTCCGTGGTTGACTCGGTGGGGACGTCCACAGTG